CAGAAACGAAGGAAAATAACCCAAGAATGATTTGAATCGAGAACTCAGACATTGAGCAATAAGCATATGAAACTAATTAACGAGAAAGTTGATAATAGCTGGGCATTTACTATGGGATATGTCCTCTGACGCTCGTCTCCGAAGAGTCTGGGATTGAGGTCAGCACCGTGAACCACAGACCCACTGGATGCCGACCCGGCACCGCGCCCGCCTTGTGGGGAATGTGGTGTCGGGCTCTGAGTACCAAGAAGTGTAGACCTGGTTCCCACCCCCAGCGGTTTACTCACAGGTGGGGAGGGCGTCCACCTAGGCACGTGAAGAACCAGAATCATCATCTTATAAAAGTTTTGCATTAAAAAGCATCATTTTTTATGGATGTGTTGATTAGCTTGATTGTAATCATTTCACAGTGTAGACATGTATCAGAATAATCATATTGTACACTTTAAATATATGCACTTTTAATTTTTGTCCACTGTTCCTTAATAAAGCCAGGATAGACAACCCACCGAATGGGAGAAAATATCTGATAAGGGATTAATATCCAAAATGTATAAAGAACTCCTACAACGCAATAGCAGAAATAACCAACAATGCAATTTTAAAAGGGTAGCCGATCTGAGCAGATACTTCTTTGAAGAGGGCATGCGGGTGGCGCACAGGCACCTGAAAGGATGCTGGACGCCGTGAATCAGCAGGGTCTGCATTGAAGCCACAGCCGGCCACCCGTCCCCTCGCGTAGAGCAAGAGGGGACACGCTGGCGAGGGAAACGCACAGGAAAGCCCGGGGCGGTGGGCCGCGGAAGCGGCCGTGTGCCTCTGAGCGCGCTGTGCTCGGCATGGGGACGTAAATGTGTTCGATGTGTTAGAACAAGGAGACCCTTGACCTTGCTGAGCGGCATGGAGGTGACTGAGCCGAGGTGCACGTTGCAGCGGATGTGGGGCGAGTGGCACGTGAGGAAGTGGCGTTAAATGGAGTCTGTGGAGGAGGAGAGGACCTGAGGCCGTGGGCGGGTGCCAGGCCTTCCGCTCCCATGGAAGCCGTGGAGAGGAAGTACAGGGGAGGGGACGGATCAGGGAGTCATTTTAACCCAGGGGTGATACGCAGGTCGGGCGGAGGCCAGGAATGGGGAGTCAGTCCTGCGTTGAGACCTCTGGCAAGGAACAGAGGTTCTGTTGCCCTGAGGCGGGAGCCTTGGTCCTGGATTCGAGTTCATCCCCTGGGAAGTTCTCCGGTTTTACGGCCGAAGGCACTTTTGGATCTCTCTCAATTGATTCCCTGGGAGGGCGTCAGGCACCCCCATGCCGAGCTCCCTTGGGAGGTGAGAACTGTGGCTCTTACTGGAAGTGCAGTTCCCACTGCGGTTGCCAGCGGGATGACCGGTTACTCATGGCAACAGCTTTCTGAGCTGTCACATCTGGGGGTTTAAAGCTACCAACCAAATAAACCTAGTTTGTCCAACCAGCTGACATCATAGATCCTAAGAGGAACTGATTCTGTGTGTTTGATAGTAAAAAACTGTCAGCTGTCACGTATTGACATGTGAAATACAGCGTTGCTTCCCTGAGGCCTGCCGTCAGTCCCGGCAGCCGCGCTTCTACTACGGGACCCTGGTGAGGCTCCGACGTGTCGGAAGAAAAGCGGCAGCCGGAGCGGGCTCGGTGGGAGCGGTGGGGGGGTGAGAGCGGCACTTAGCAGTGAGGGAGGTGTGGAGGGTGGGCTGCGGCCCAGACACGGACGCGGGGCGCGGTGGGAGTCAGGACGTAGCTCAGCACACGTCCCTGCTTTGTTTTGAAGTAATTTCAAGTTACAGAAAAATGGTAGGTAAGAGCCCTACAGACGCCTTCCCGTGCTTTCCCCGCGGTAACGTCACCACGGTTGCCGTTTTCTCGCTTTTACTCTATTTTTTTCTGAACCATTTGCCAGTACGTTGCAGATACACGGCGCCGCTTTCTTAAGTATTGTGTTGCCCGAAAACCAGGGCACTTTCCTCTCGACGAGTGTAGCCAGCAAATCGAGGAGAGTAGCTCGATGCGTTAGCACCACCAGAGCCCAGCAGGGGCCGCAGGCCTCCCAGCAACGTCCTTCGTCGCGCGTGCACAGGCGCACACGGGCACACACGGGCACACACGGGCGCGCACGCCTGCTCTCCTTTCCCTTCGTTCCTGTCCGAGCTCAGGTGGTTCTGTGCTGCACGTGCTGTCCTGTCTCTGGTCTCTGCCTGGGACGGTCCTAAGGCTTCCTTACTTATCGTCTTAAAGAACACAGTCCGCTACTCTGTGGAGTATCACTTACCTTCGTTAAATGTTCTTTGTAATCTTTAGAATCCTAGAATTTTACTTATTTATTAAATGTATTGGGGGGACGTTGGTCCCTCAGATCACAGGTTTCGAGTGTGGATTTCCGTGAGGCGTGACCTGCGTGTTGCACGGCTTGCCCACCACCCAAGGTCAGGTCCTCCGTCACCGTGTCCGGCCCCCTGTGCCCTTTGCTGCCCCTCACCCTCCCCTCTCTGTGCCTGTTCATTGTCTCTCTCTGTTCCGTGTCCCACGTGAGTGAGATCTCAGGGTTCTTGGCTTTTTCTGACTCATGTCGCTTGGCGAGATGGCCCCGGGGTCCGTCCATGTGGTTGCAAACGGCAGTGTTTCATCTTTCCTGCGGCTGAGAGTGCTCCCCGAGTCCATCCCACAGCTGCTCTGTCCAGGCCTCTAGCGAGGGACACTTTGGTTACCCCCGTGTCTTGGCCACCGTGAGTAACGCTGTGGTGAACATGGGGNTGTGTCCTCCCACAGCTGCTCTGTCCAGGCCTCTAGCGAAGGACACTTTGGTTTCCTCCGTGTCTTGGCCACCGTGAGTAACGCTGTGGTGAACATGGGGGTGCATTATCTTTCTGAATGTTCCTTTATAGTTTGATTTGGGCATGGCCGTCCTGGTGGTTCATGTCTGCGAGGGCTCGTGGAATCTGCTTGAGTCAGTGCATTGTGACCTGTCACTCGTCCCGAATGCTCCTCTTCTCAGGGTTGGCCAGCGGGACCTTTCCAAGGTGGCTTCTGTGTTCCTGTGACAGGTCCCGTTCTGCTTTGAGCATTTGCGTACCTCCTGGCACAAAGCACTCCAGGCTTACTCTGTCCTTTCCTGACCCCGCTGTGCAGGTAGACGCATCTCGGGTTTTTCTTTGTAGGGTCGTTTGGGAAACAAGGCCGGGGCAGTTAGGCCGCTCGTTGCTCCTGAGGTTGCTGCTCTAAGCCCTTGTAGCAGGCAGATTGAGGAAATGCAAGTGTGTGTACAAACACGCACGCACATGTACACACGCACGCACACGCACACATGCGCACAATCACCTATATCTACTTTTTTTTAACCCTCACCCGAGGATATTTTTTCTGTTGCTTTTCAGGGAGTTGGGGGGGGGGCATCGATGTGAGAGACACTCCGACTGGCTGCCTCCCACACTCACCCTGACTGGGGCCAGGGATCGAGCCTGCAACCCAGGTATGTGCCCTTGGCCAGAATCAAACCCGGGCCCCTCAATCTGCAGGCTGACGCTCTAATCGCAGAGTCAAACCGGCCAGGGCANCATTGCTTTTCAGGGAGTTGGGGTGGGGGGGCATCGATGTGAGAGACACTCCAACTGGCTGCCTCCCACACTCATGCTGACTGGGGCCGGGGATCGAGCCTGCAACCCAGGTACGTGCCCTTGGCCGGAATCGAACCCGGNAAACCCGGGCCCCTCAATCTGCAGGCTGACGCTCTAATCGCAGAGTCAAACCGGCCAGGGCAGCCCNCCCCTCGATCTGCAGGCTGACGCTCTAATCGCAGAGTCAAACCGGCCAGGGCAGCCCCCCAGCTTTCTCATCCCCTCATCTGCTGCTGGGCACGTGGGCTCCCCCAGATCTCAGCCGCTGTAAACTGCGCTGCTGTGCACACGGGTGCGTAAGTTCTTTCTGATGAGTGTTTCAGGCTCCTTAGGACACATTCCTAGAAGTGGGATCACTGGGTCCAGTGGCAGCTCCATTCTTAATTTTTTGAGGAACTTCCCTACTGTGTCCAGATCAGTTTTATAATCACGATCTCGGGGTGGGAGCCAGGCCTGCTTGTGTTTTAAGGACTCCGGTGTGTAGTCGAGGAGCCACCGCTGTGGCCCGGTGTTCTCATAAGCAGCCTGGCCGAGTCAGGGATGGGACACTGCGTTTTAGTGAATGTTGTAACGTGATTCTCTGTATTAGTTAGAATCAGGAGCGACTGCCAGGAATGGAAACCTAAAGTAAGTTGACTTATACAGATGGTTTATTTCAGTTTCATGTAAAGTTCTAGACACGGGCAGTCCAGGGCCGGCATGGCCATTGGGTTCCACAAAACCCTCACGTACCAGGTTCCCTCTTGATGTGTTTCTGTTGAACTGGGGCGGGGGGGAAGCTCTTAACCTCAAGCTCCAGGACAGAGGCTCGATCTCCTGCCACAGCGTCCGTGTTCCCAGCTGTGGAGGAGTCTGGGAACGGGCTCTTCTGGGCGCCTGGCGTGCTTGCTAAAACCAGAAATCCTTTACGTGGGAACAAAGGAGAACCGAGGTGGCAGCCACCCGCCATCCCCACCTCGCCCTCCGGGAATCTGCCCCCGTGCTGTTTCCCCGACCCGGCCGCTCAGGTCAGCAAGAGGCCGAGTCAGCAAAGGCTCGTGGAGACGAAACCTCTGCGGGGGACAAGACGCCTGTCAGTCTGACTCAGAAAGACGGCAGGTTACAGACTTTACTGTTGCGAGAAAATAACAGAGGTGTCAGCTTTCTGATGGTGCACAGCTCCTGCCCTCCCCCGGTGTTTCAGGAATGGTTACCTCTCAGCCCGGCTGTGTACTTGCTGACCCGCTCGGGTTGGCCTCCGTGTCGATGCTGCTCAGGGGCTCGGTGCCTCGCGCTTACCCGTCAGTGTTTCCGGTGCTTGTCAGCGAGGGATGAAAAGCCGTCTGCTCCGTGGCTGCTCTAACCGGTGCTTTGTTGTTGCAGCCGACGAAGGCCGCTGCACGGACCCCGACCGGCTGCAGGTGCTGTACAAGAAGACGGTGCTGCCCTACGGGGTCTTTAAGAAGCAGCAGCGGAGCCCGGCCGAGGAGGCCGCTGTGCTGCAATATGCCCGCCTGGTGGGGCAGGCGTGCGCCCAGCGGATGCTGCTCTTCCGGAGCTGAGGCCGCGCTCGCCCCTCGCTCAGCCCGCGCCGCCCAGACCTGTCACTGCCCGAGATCCCGGCTCCACCTGCAGATCCTCCTCGTTTTGACTATTACCTACTTTCCTAACTGTTCTGTGGCAATGCATTTGTGAGAATCTCATGGTTAGTGTGAAGATTTTAAAGGTACGTTGTGACCTTGCCTCCTAATTGGGGTTTATCATTCAGAAGCTTGTTTTGTGAACAAGACATGGTCAGCTTCTCTCATTGTCAGTGTTCTAGGAAGTAAAATCAGACGTGAGCCTTGAGTAATTTAAATTACAGTCATGTTTTTTGCTCTGTTAGAAATCAAAGCAGAGTGTGGCCTCAGGTCCATTTAAAACAAGCTGCTGCGTTTCAGGTGAAGTCACTGCTGGCATCAGGCTGGCACCTAATAGAGGACTCCAGGGAAGGAAGGCATCACCTCGACCTGGTCTTTACTCAGACGGCCCTGCTCACAGCTGCTGTCGGCCGATGTTCTAGAAATTACCACCAGTGCTCCCCTGACTCTCAGAATGTCCCAGCTTGGACAGTGAAGTGTTTGTTTACCCTGGTTGTATGATATGTAATTTGCTCTATTTCTAAAAACCTGAGAAATGGAGTTTCTGAAGAAAATGTAGCTCCTGCCCTCACCTGAGCAGCCTCAGGAGTAACATGCCCTCGGTTTCCCACCTCAGAGCTGAGGTCGCTTGTCTTTGGTTATTGATTAAGGGCTGGTTCACATCCAGCTGCTCTTACAGCTGGAGGAAGGAGAGGCCGGTGCACCAGGTCGGAGCTGCAGGGGAGTTGGGGCAGGCGGTGGGGATGGGGTTGGTGTCTCCTGTGCTCTCTCCGCTGACCCCGGCTTCTGTCGCCGGCTGCTCGGCCCTGAACCCTTTCAGTCCCCACTCTGCCCATTCGTCTGTTTTCTATTGATGGACCTTTGAAAACTATATTATAAGCTTAGTAGTTTGACTCTCACTGCTGATTTTATACTTTTCTTCTAAATGCACTGAATTTAGATAGAACATTTTACAATAATTTCAGCCGGTAAAAGGGGGGCTCATAAAACAATGATTTTAAACGTCAAATTCCAGAAATTCAACATCCAAACCATGTGTTCGTTCAGAGTGTGTGTGTACCTCCTGCCCTGTGTAGCTGTTGGCTGACTAGGGACCGAGCAGAGAGCAAAGCTGGTCTCTCCGACTGCACGGATTTCACCTTCTGGGACGCCCCCCCCCCCCTTCAAATAGTTCCCAGGAGCACTGGATGGACTCTTGCTTGGAACTGCCTTCAGAATCTAGGAAACGTCTTCTTTTCCCTCTGAAGTGACAACAGCTTAATTTTTTATGATTACAAAAGTGATAGTGTGAGCAATTAAAACATTAAGAAAAAGATAAGTAGGAAAGTAAAAATAATCTGAAATCCTGCCATACAGAGAAAGAGAGGATGTCACACACACACAGTTTTACAACAAATAGAATTGTGCTCTGCATGCTGCTGTTCTCTGAGGTTGGAGGGAATTTAAGACAGATCCCTGACGTGCTGTGAGAAGTCCCTGGGACTGAAGTGAGGTCAGGTCGCACCCAGTGCCCGTGGCGTTCAGAGCCCGGGCTCCGTTGTCAGCTGCTTCTATCTGAGTGGGGAGCGTGTAGGATGGTGAAGCTCACAAGATCCCACCTCGAGTATCAGACGGGGGGAAGGCTTGAATCTGACCACGTGCTGTTCCTCCGCTGAATTCCAAGCAGGGCTCCTTCAGGGGGATGGTGGTCGGCCCTGTCTGGGGACCACCACGTGGGTCGGTCCCTGCTGGTGGCATTTTGGTGGCTCCAGTGAGCCCCTGGAAGAGTCGGGCATGGAGAGCCTTCCCTGTTGCTATATTCGTGTGTGGGGTCTTTTTTGAGAATAGATAGTGTGGTGATCCTAATGAGCAGTTTCTTGAAAAGACAGTAATTGGTCCTTGAGTCCTAGCTGAGTGTTGGTAGTGGGCAAGAAAGGACAGGACAGTCAAGGGGAGTGACCGGCTTTGTCCTTCGGCACGCGGTCCGGCTGAGACATCTGCTTTCATGTTAGTGGCTGTGCTCTGAGACAGACACGGGACCTTTCTAAGGCCGTTGGCAAACCTCTTTAAAGCGGGCAGCTCTGCACCCATATTCTGTGGCCCTTTCTGATTTCACATAACGCACCTGCCTTCCTGTCTAGAGGCAAAAGGGTGGTAGAGGTCCCCATACAGCCAGGGTGGTAGAGGTCCCCGTATGCCAGGGTGGTAGAGGTCCCCATACAGCCAGGGTGGTAGAGGTCCCCGTATGCCAGGGTGGTGGAGGTCCCCATACAGCCAGGGTGGTGGAGGCCCCCGTATGCCAGGGTGGTGGAGGCCCCCATATGCCAGGGTGGTGGAGGCCCCCATACAGCCACCTTTGTTTAAGTTACTTCAGTTCCATGGAAATTACTCTCTTATTTTTTAAAAGTGTAATTTTTCTCTTCTAAAGTGTAGAGGCTGTTACCTNAGAGGTCCCCGTATGCCAGGGTGGTGGAGGCCCCCGTATGCCAGGGTGGTGGAGGCCCCCATATGCCAGGGTGGTGGAGGCCCCCATACAGCCACCTTTGTTTAAGTTACTTCAGTTCCATGGAAATTACTCTCTTATTTTTTAAAAGTGTAATTTTTCTCTTCTAAAGTGTAGAGGCTGTTACCTTACTCGTGATTAAAACGGACAGAAGGTTGTCACTGTGTGTGTTTCCTTTCAAACCGCTGACCCTACTTTTTCTCCATTTTGCAAAACACCAGTTGTGTGGCTGCCATGGTGGACTCTGTCATGTAAATGAACCTTTTCAGATTCTGAACAGCGTATGGTTTGGTTTTATAGGCTTTCTATCATTNACTGACCCTACTTTTTCTCCATTTTGCAAAACACCGGTTGTGTGGCTGCCATGGTGGACTCTGTCATGTAAATGAACCTTTCAGATTCTGAACAGCGTATGGTTTGGTTTTATAGGCTTTCTATCATTTCCATATGAATAAAGGTGAAAATAAGATGATGACCAGTTACCGACAACGTGTCTATCTTGCTGATTTCAAGGACAGGGAAGTACATGGGTGTCACCGGGAAGTGTCTAAATTAGAAGTTGTTCAGATGTGTCTTCTTTTGTTCCAAAAGAAAACCAGTAAATACATGTAANATCTTGCTGATTTCAAGGACAGGGAAGTACATGGGTGTCACCGGGAAGTGTCTAAATTAGAAGTTGTTCAGATGTGTCTTCTTTTGTTCCAAAAGAAAACCAGTAAATACATGTAAAGCAACAAGTTTGGTGCATGTTGTGTTTTTGCTCCTGTGTCTACTTTTTGAACGTGTGTTTGGTGGTGCTCAGTGGGGAAATAACGCTGCTTCTGTCACAGTGGCGCCCGCTGGTCAGTATGTGGAAGACCCGTGTTCTCATCTCCTGAAGTCTCCAGGGCACTTTGCCCGTCGTGAGTATGCAGAGGACGGAGGTGAACCGCTGGCTGTGAACCGCAGCATTTGCTTTTCAGTAACTGGCATTCCAGAGCACCTGGTTGCTTAAAGCACGATGGGTCCCTTTCTCAGGGATGAATAAAAGTCTCCTTCTTTAGCAAAGTCTGGATTTTCACAAGATGAATTCGGGAATAGACATTATTTTACCCAAAGGGATTTGAAATAAGAGATTTAAATTACAATCTTGAATATAATTTCTCTTGAAAAGTTGAGTTTATGGCCCAGCCAGTGTGGCTCAGCAGTTTTGTGTCGACCCATGAACCAGGAGGTCACAGTTCGATTCCCGGTCAGGGCACNATGAATTCGGGAATAGACATTATTTTACCCAAAGGGATTTGAAATAAGAGATTTAAATTACAATCTTGAATATAATTTCTCTTGAAAAGTTGAGTTTATGGCCCAGCCAGTGTGGCTCAGCAGTTTCGCGTCGACCCATGAACCAGGAGGTCACAGTTCGATTCCCGGTCAGGGCACAGGCCCGGGTTGTGGGCTCGATCCCCAGTCAGGAGCCTGCAGGAGGCAGCCGATCAGCAACTCTCATCACTGATGTTTCTGTCTCTCTCCCTCTCCCTCCCTCTCTGAAATCAATAAACTTTTTTTTTTTAAGTTGAGTTTACAGAGAAATTTTCATAAATATCTCATAAAGCAAAGCCTGCTTTGATTGTAACAGTCCACAGTGTATGTGTGGAAGACATTTACAGGTGTTTGTCTTTCCTGGTAGGTTTATGATAAAACGAATCCAGTTCTCCAAGTTACGTANGGTGTGTTTGTGGAAGACATTTACAGGTGTTTGTCTTTCCTGGTAGGTTTATGATAAAACGAATCCAGTTCTCCAAGTTATGTAAATATTAGTGACCATTTCCACTGACATTTTTTCCAGAATAGAAATAGCTTTGTCGTTTTCCTTCCTTGAAATGGGCAGTGTTCACCCCAGCACATTTAGACAATATAGAAAAGTACTTGGAAGGAAATAAGAGTCACTCAAAATCCCGTCACTGACTGCTGCCATTCACAGTTAGTCCTTTCAGACTTTGTTCTACCGATGTGTATGTGTGTGTTTTGTTTCTAAAGAAAGACGGAATCATGCCATTATATTTTGTAATTTTATACCTATTTGATATATAGTGACTATGCAGACAAATGAGGAAAGAAAGTCATTTTAATGGCTGCGTAATATTCCACTGTGCCTATCTTTTGAGAAAGGGGCCCTAGGACTTCAGCCCCTCCTTGTAGGTAATAGGATTGTAATTGACCAGCATTAACAGTTTTTATCAGTTCTTTGTGGAACTTGGTGATGTGCTTCTGCCTCATTTCCAGTCTCTTTGCCTTTCACTGGGCAGGAGGAATTTCCCTTTTTCTTTTTTTTCTTTTTAAAATATATCTATTGGTTTCAGAGAGAGGAAAGAAGAGGGAGAGAGAGAGAAACATCGATGATGAGTCATTGATTGGCTGCCTCCTGCACGCCCCCAACTGGGGATCGAGCCCGCAACCCGGGCTTGTGCCCTGACCAGGAATCGAACCCTGATCGCCTGGATCACAGGTCAACGCTCAACCACTGAGCCACGCCCGGCTGGGCTCCCTTTTTCTTGAACATTCAGAAAAGGTGTAGCTTTTACAGCTTTGAGCCCCCTCTTGTCCCTCAACTTGGTGTTTTCTGGGAGATCTATGCTAAGGTTACAGTTTGTGCGTCTCTAAAATGTCCAGTTAGAAAATGCCTGTCTTAAAAGCTAAGGTTATTTAACACAGCTCCTGGTTCTGATTCATTTATTATTTACAGAACAGAGACCTTTAAATTGGGCACAGTGGGAAGGGTGGGTTACCGGACCAGTATGACAGATTTAGCTAAGTTTTTTTACTTTTAAAAGTATGTTTATATTTTTAAAAATATTTTGAGATTTAGCTCTAAGTAAAATTGCATTTTTTTTGTGTCCAGTTGGTTGTCACAGGTGATATCTTCAGTCCTATCTAGAAAATGTTTCCCATTCACTGTTTCAAGTAGACCAAGAATTAAACTTGCTGAGTATGTTTCACACGTGTGAGTTTGTCGTGCTTATTACCAAGGGTCTGTGTCGTTTCCTAAGGTGACTGCTGTGGCTTTGAGATCGACAGTTGAAGGAAAACGTTTCCTTCAAGAACAATTTGAACGACTGATAAATTAACTCAGAAATATTTACCCCGGGTTTCTGCTGTTTTACTCCATTCTTATATTGCATCTTGAATCTTTCAGGTTTCTGATACTGGTTACATGTTTATTTTCATCAAATAGAAAAAAATCATAAATTTATCAATAAATCATTAGCAATAAAATAAATTAACTGCATCTCCCGAAAGAAGCCTACCCCGAACACGCAGTGACCCGGCTTTGTAGAAGAAAAGTGGGAAAGATGGATCCTCGTTGCAGCGTCTCTCCAGCTGTCGGAACCAGCCGGGGGTTGCCGCGGAGTTGTCCGTCCAGAAGACACACGGCACGGGTTGACTCACAGCTCTACTTTTAAAAGATTTTTCAGTCCTTGATGGTATTTTTAAGGGTAATTATGATAACTTTTTACCTAGTACAGCCAACTTCTGATGGAGACTCATGTCAGTGTCCTCAGCATGAAGCTCCATGGACTCTGACTAGAGGCTGTTAGATGGGGAGACCGTACTTTGGACTGGCTTCCCCAGTGTTGGTTGCAGACACCTGCGGCCACCGGCCAGCCTCCGGCCGAGAGGGAGCCTTGGCGGGAGCGTCTGACCCGTCTTCATCATCATTGAGAGCGGTGCTTGCTCAGGTGACCCTGAGTGCAAAGTGCAGAAATTGCTCTCCTGTCCTTGTTCTGCCCTTTCAGTTAAATTTTCCCCAGAGCCACCAGGGGGCAGAAAGAAACTTCCTTA